GCACAGCGAGTATTACTATAAAATCGCGAAGGGCCTGCTGACTCTTTAGATAACGACGAAGGGTTGCTGAGAACGTATGGTTTCTCTCGAAGATACGAGCGCCGTCAGGCCGTTCAATCGCCATAATCGCGGCTAACGCGTCGCGCGAGAGACGGAGGGTGACTACCCCGATATCCTCGGCTGAAATCGCGCGAATCGCCCGAACGCGCGCGCGCGAGTGCCAATATCGAAGCCGCGCGAAGGGGCTCTTTTCCCACGTTATTGTTTCTCGATGCGACGGTGAGTCGGCGAAAGTTGGACTGATCTGATACGAGGTAAACGACACACAGGGAGTTCATGCGGTCGATGGAACGCCTCTACGCCGTGCCGTCGGAGAAGCTGCGGGTCTGGATGGTTTGGCTTACCGGCGTCGGCGAGATAGCCGACGAATGGCAGCAATGGCTACGGGCGCACTTCGATCTGATCGCGCGAATAGCCGAAATGGCCGCGAACGACGAGAGCCCGGCAGGGAGAAAGATTGAATCCGTTGTAAGTAGCAATGTTACCTCCCTGTATCGATAACAGAGCGGCAACAGAGCGAAGAGAAAGAGGCCCGAGGGGAGGGAGAGAAACGTCGTCGAATCGATGTTTGCCTTCGTCTTTCGCGTTTCTAAAGCCCGGCGAGCCGAATTGTCGAGCGATCGAACAATTGGAACAGTTGGAGCAGTTCGCGCAGCTCTAACAACTCGGGGCTTGAGATCGCGGAGTTGGACGCACTCGAAGACCAGCGAAGGCCCAAGGGCTCTCCCGACCGACGCGCGTCGCTCGTCTCTCTCGAGGGTTTGCTTTTCGGCAATCGGCAAACCATGAGACGAAGCGATACGGGCCTCCCCCGGCGCGATTCCGCCGATACGCACGCTCGCAGCAGCTTTTATTTAATCGCCATAACGATCGAGGCAAATTAATAGCTGTTCTCTCTGGACTAACAGCCTTAAGCTGCATTGACGGATTAATAGTTCAATTAGTACTCGGGATCGCAAATTGAATTCCCGGCGGAGCGAGACTCCGGCGATTAATTGGAAAATAACGTTCCGTTACACCGCCCATACCGCCTCGGAGCTTACGACGTCGCAACTTTTTAATTCTCAGCATTACAGACTCTCAAATAGCCGTCTAGTTAAGTTACCCTCCCCCCCCCTCCCCTTTACTACTTTTTATTCGCAGAGCGGAGGAACCCGCGAACGGATCGGGGGGAGATCCCTCGGCGCTTCTTGCGCGTTCGGAATATGTGCGCGAGCTCACTTGTGCGTGTATGGTATCTTGGATATTGTTGTAACGTTGACGTAACCGGACAACCGCGTAATGAGAAAACGAGCGGGGGAGGGGGGGGAAGCGGGCGGGTACGCCGGGAGCGCATCGTTTCGCGACGAGAGATTCGCCGCGGTGCGTCTTAGCGCGCGCGCGCGCGCGCAATGTTGCAAAGACGACTGCGCTCCAAGCGCAGAAATAACGGGGGAGAAGCCGAGAGAGGAATAATCGTGCGGATCTCGTGCGCGAGAAAATGCCAGCGACACGCCGCCTCGCCTACTCAATTTTGCGACCTGCGCGCGACCGAGAGCGCTCCTTCGCAATTCCGCCGCAACACACGGCGGATAAAGATTAATCGAACGCGCTCGATACACGGCGCTTCCCTGTCTCCCCAGAGGGAACGGGACTACACAGGAGGACTCTGCGAAGCTCTAATTTCGATTGATCGAAAGTGTCATTACCAAGGGTCCCCCCCGATCGTCGCAGATTACCGCCGCGGGAGTAACTCGGCAATTAGTTTGCAAAGTAACGTATCGCGGCGAGCTTGATGCGATACCGTCGATAAGTCTGATCGCTACTGTTGCGTTTATTTTCAACTGCAATCGCGAATAACGTAAAGGCGCGAGATCGTGACGAAGGTATCTTAGAGCTGATAAATCTTCTTCACGAGAGAGACTCTTTGGCGCGCAAAATTGCAGCAAGATGAGTGCAGGCGGAGGCAGACAGAGGTGATAAGGATGATGAGATTTCGAAATATATTAGCATGAAATTCGAGGTAAATTTAAAAGAAATTACGAGCAGATTAAATACGAAAAAAGCTGAGGAGAATTATGATAGAAAAAAAAAAAAAAAGGAAAAGATTCAGTCAGTTTCAATTTTATCTCATTCCGTTTCCGAAAATATCCCACACGTATCTCGTTCGAATCGTTTCCGATTATTCCCGACGGCGGTGCTTCGAGCCGTCGAAACGCCGCTTGGAAATCCCGAAATCTTCGATTATCCTAAGCACACACACACGCACGCGCACACACCGCCGTTAGCGGCGAGACCGATATTCCGACGCAATTTCGCATTGTAATTTTCTACTTGAGTTACACGAAGAAACGGGGCTTTTCCCTCCCTCTTTCTTTCTTTCTTTCTTTCTTTCTTTCTTTCTCCCATTCTCCCGCTCTTTCTCTCTCTCCACCTCTCCGGCACTGAATCACACGAGAAGTTTCCGTTTATCGTGCCGATAAAGCTGACCGTCGATATTAGGATTCGCGAAAAGGCGGCAATATCCCCGCCGCGACGCTAAATCATAGATTATCCTAGATAGAAGACGCTTTCTTCCGACGTACGTAATAAAGATCGTACATGTAATAAAGATCGAGCTTAGCCGCAATTAATCTTTCACGTAACGACCTGCCAAAGCTTTTCTTCAAAGGGCTTACGCACGTGTGCCGCGTGCGTGCGTGCGTGCCTCTCCCGCGCGCGCGTGTGTTATATATCACGCGATGGCTTTATCGGGAACATCACATCTTCATTTTATATGTTTTCCTCGGCTGATCGATTCTCGGATCCTGTTACACTCAGGGTAATTAGACTTTTTATTAGTCGAATCGTATTCTCTCTCTCTCTCTCTCTCTCTCTCTCTCTCCCTCTCCCTCTCCCTCTCTCTCTCTCTCTCTGTCTTCTCTCTGCCGAAGAGACGCGTCGATAAAGAGCATTGTTAACATCAGCTCAAGTTCGCGTCGGAATCGCGGCGAAAGAAATGTTTGCTCGCCGACCAGCAGAGAGCAACGACATTTGCTGCCGATATCCAAAGACTCCGCTCACTCACTCGCTCGCAAATAGCGCGATATTGCGCTATTACTCAGCGCGGCTGTAATATCCAGCACTTCGATGTCCACCTGAAATCGCGTTTTGTGGGCTTCACGCGGACTTGTGCAAGCGATAACGCACGCGCGCGCACGCGCGATACACGAGGGCAGTCTGAAAAGTTCTCGGCCTAACAATGAAAGAAAATTGTTTTTGCCGTGAGATATGTTTTGTTTTTTAATATAATCTCGTGAAACTTCAATACATTTATTCCGACATTTTTCCAATAATTCAATAGCATCATTAAAGTGTGATTCCAGAAGGTTCTTTTCGCTCCGGTGTATAATGGTGGATCCAAGTTTCGTCAACAGTTACGGAACGACGCTTGAAATCCATTTTATTTTGCTTGAAACGATTAAAATCGTGCCAAGCACGCTTGAGAAATACACGCATTCGAATGCGTTTTTGGTCAATTGTTAGCAAATGCTGCAAGCTTTTTCAACTAGTGCTACCACTCGAATGACTCGACAGATCGAATAAAATTATACATGGGTTTATATCAGAGATGCCACTTTCCAATACAATTATAGTTTGACAGTTTCTAATGTCATGTGTGTGTCAGGTCGAGAACTTTTCAGACTGCCTACGTAGATACTTTAAAAATATTTATTGGACAAATACAAGAGAGAAACAGCCTCTTTTGTTCCGCGTTCGCGAAGATACTTGCTGGCTGCGGAGAGCAACGGAGGAGAACGCGAGCGGCTAAAAATTTCAGATGCCGAGACAAGGGACTGTTTACTCGCGTCGTTTCACCTCGCCGGCCTGTTATCCGAGACTTCATGATCCTTAATGCACAAGTGTTTGTCTTTCGTTTCGTAGGCAAACGCTAAGAACTCTGACGAAATCCCCGATAATGCGGGGCCAGCGAAACCGACGGCTGCGGCGGCGGCGGCGGCGGCGGAGGAAGAGAAGGACGAGGAGAGGAGAGACGCGCCCCGTAATCTCGACGACGGTATATGCGGGAAACACTTGTGTTTCGCGGGTTTCCAGCGTTCGCGTGCATCGCGATCGTGACTTTGAAAACGCGTCGCGCTGGCGACGACACGAAAATCGCGTTCTGGTCGAACCGCTGGAGCGTTCGCGCGGTCGCGCGAGTAACAGGCCAGAAAACAGCGCATTAATATTTCCCGCGTAAGCGTGATGCAAAGCCGCACGGCTATTGTCGCGGTCGCGAATCACTCACGTGGCTTTTATACGTTGTCCTAAACAGATTTCACATGGCTTTGCGAAGGATTTTCAGGCGGGCTCTGCGGCGCGCGACCAGCTGACACCGCGGGGGATTTTATGTATTTAATATAATATCCAAGTTCGGTGAGCGCGCGTACGTGAAACCGGTGTAACACCGACGTGAAAATACGGGCCGGATGACGGAGGTTTAGCCAAAATTGCGTTCGCCATTAAGGCCGCTACTTCCGGCACGAGAGGCGCTCGCTTTTAATAAGAATCGGCCTGGAAATAACACGATACGGGGCTACATCGTGACTTGAACCATTTTCCTGAAAAAAAAAAAAAAAAAAAAAAAAAAAAAAAAAATGCAATCCCCTGAGAAGCTCGAGTGGCGTCTCTCTTAAACGTGACGAGAGAAGTTCCCATGTCACCGCTCTCTCGACCAAGTCGCCGAGTCGTCAACGACGAGAAGGTGCCAACGACCCGTGCAAGGTGCGCGTCGATGAGTCAATGTGGCCACCGCCACGGATACTGAAGGAAATCCCAACCACGATCGCCGATAGGGGGGGAGAGAGAGAGAAAGAGAGAGAGAGAGAGAGAGAGAGAGAGAGAGAGAGAGAGAGAGAGAGAGAGAGAGAGAGAGAGAGAGAGAGAGCACAAGGAGCTCGGCGGCGGGCGCTTCCGCGACGAATTTTTCTCCGCGCTTTACCGCGAGATTATCTCGTCGAGTGTTGTTCCGCGTCGGAAGCTGACTCTCGAGAGCGGGCAGTAATTCGTGATTCTCAGACCGCGAGCTGACGTTCGGGGAAAAAAAAAAGAGAGAGAAAAACGGAAACGGAGGTGCACACGACGGCACTCTCGCTCATTCCGCACTCCTTATCCACCTCTCCCGAGAAGATCGCTTGCCGGGCGAGTGTCGTCTCACCGCCGAGACGTCGTGTACGGGACAGTGAAAAAAATCGACACGTTTCCTCGCGAGAGACAAGGAAGCGATCGTCCGACCGTCCGGCCGAGGCTGACGAGTTTCCCCGGTGGCCGTCGTCCGCTTTCGCCAGATCCGTCCGCGACTGCTGCTGGTTAATCTGGCGCACCACCTGACGTATACGGATTGCGCGTGACGTTTCGCGGCGTATTTCATTTCACCTGCGCGGCCCCGCGTCGGCCAAGGCTCTCGCGGACGAGCTCTGTACAATGGGGTCTTCAGTATTGTCCGCAGGAATATTGGCTTTTGTTGAAGGGACAGGCGACGGCGGAGAGACGACGACCGCGGACTGGAAGGCAGAGAGGACCGCGACGACCTGGCCAATAGGGACAAGGTGGCAGCCCTTGACTCCTCCGATCGAGGAGGAAGCGGATCAAATGGAAACGATTCGGGTAACTTTATCCTGGGGGGATCGCTCGCGCGTAATTCCCGTGCAATCGTTGATCCCGGGCGTTTCACAGAGGGGCAATCGAGGAGTTCCCAAGTGGCATCTGTCCCTCTCTCTCCCTTTCTCCCTCGGTCTCTCTCTCTCTCTCTCTCTCTCTCTCTCTCTCTCACTCTCTTTCTCTTTCTCTCTCTTTTTCTCTCTCCCTCGTTCTCCCTCGTTCTCCTTTGTTCCCGACGGTCTTCCGATGTTATCGCTATTCTACGCGCGGTCTTATTACCTCTACGTAATAAATATCGATCGACGAATAATGAATACAACGTACGAGTACAAGGGAAGAGAGAAAAAGAAAGAGGAGGAACGACGAAAGAGGTAGATTGTGGAGAGAGGGAGTAGGGCGCGGAGATGGGGGAAAGACAAACCGAACATTCCGCGCATAAATTAGATCGCGCGTCGAGACCGAGGAGATACCGTTCCCAGTTAGTTTCCGATAACGTCGCGCCGTGAGATACGACTCTCCGCCGACTATCTTGCCAAGATGTTACACGTTTTTCCACGTTTTCCGTTCTACAAATATTTGCAGTTTCGACGATTCTCATATATATATATATACATATATATATATATATATATATATATATATGCGCCTGAGATGCGCAGCAATCAACTGAGAAACGGTCGTTTAATTTGCGCAGCGTCTCGACGTACCAAAGAGCCGCGCGGAAATGATTGAGCTGCTGGAGAATTTCACTCATCAGGCCACTCTGTACAGATCTTATTACAAGCATTGGAAGAAGACAGCCGATCAAGTAGCTATCTCATAAAATATTTTCTTTTAATCTCGTGATATAAGGAACACGCCCGCGTCCGCGAGCTCTCTCTCTCTCTCTCTCTCTCTCTCTCTCTCTCTCTCTCTCTCTCTCTCTTTCTTCCTCTGTTAATTCCGACCGGCACGGTTCTTTATTGCCTACGGCGCACTCGCGAATCTCATTATGGGAATACAAGAATTTTCTCAGAGATATCGGATTATATACTTAGCTTTACCGCCGAGCCGGCGGAGGAGGCGAAACGCGAGAGATTAATGCTTTGAGAAAACTTAATATTAAATTATAACAGCAATAATAACGTAGAACGCGAGGGATAGAAGAGAAAGAAGAAGAGGAAGAGAGAAAAAAAAGTCCGAACGACTTTTGTATCGTTCCGTCCGATATACAACGGAACGGAAAGAGGAAAAGGGGGTAGACAAAGTCTCTCCCAAAGAGAGAGAGAGAGAGAGAGAGAGAGAGAGAGCAAGCGAGATGGAGCGCTGACTTTTCGCTGTCGCGCAATGCAGTGCAATCTACCTTTTCGCTTTTCCGCGTGTCACACGCCGCGCGGCAGCGTCGATTTCGCGATCGCCGGGAAATTCGCGCAGCCATACATATATACGACGACGTGTGAATCAGCAGATGCGATCAAACGCCGCGCTTTTTCAGGCCGTGAGGGAAATCGTAGGCAGAACAGTGACGGCCACGGCGAGAATTCGAGACACGGACGAGCCGCACGTGGCCGATACGGAATATGCAACGAAGCGAGCCGAAGGCGCGGCCAGTCTCCCGGCGGAAGAATCGACGGTGAGCGCGATTGATCCCCCAGCGGACGCGTCCAGGTTGGACATTGAATCGACGCCGGTAGCGTTGTCGAATGATCAGTACGAAGAAGCGGAGGAGTCTTGGCTGGAGATGAGCGAGACTGAGGAGGATGACGAGTCCCCGGCGACGCGGCTGCTCCAGGAGGAGAGTGCGTCGGAAACGACGGCGGAGACGATCGAAATCGCGGCTGCGAAGTCGTCGCTCGCGCCGTCGAGGGTACGTAAGAGCATCTCCGTCGCCGGCATGTCGCAAAGGGAAAACGCACGAGCGTATATATATATATATATATATTGGGACGTGCGCTACCGCGACATTTACGAAATCACGACTCGTCGATTTCGATCAAACCCGCTCCTATCCGGTAACCGTCCACGCGAAGGAAGGGTAAATAAATGTTTGCCGTGTTTTCGGTTTCCGTTCGAATGTCGCGCACCGCTGGGAATAAGAATGGAATTCGTGCGGTGCGTGCGCGCGCGCGCGCGCGCGGCTTCTCGGGCCCTCGCGAGGCCACGTGCGGTAAGGGCGGGCGAGGGCAGGGCAGGGGAGACAGAGAATTGCCATGGACGCGACGGGAATTACAAATTCGCCAGCGAGTACACTCGCGTGGGAGTAAAGGTTCGACAGAGGATAAATTTGCGGTATGGAGGCGAGGGTGTTAAAATTCCTAAGTGCGCGATCGCAACGCGACGCCGATTACGAGGATCAAAAGTGCCCCGAAATTTGAGGCGCACTCGCGCGCGCCATTTCGCGTTTGCGCGACGCGGCCGCGCGAAATTGATGTTGACAGTGACGCGGACACTGGTCAACGCTCGAAAGCGTTCGTCGCGGAGGCGAACATCCGAATAGCATTACGGCAATCAATCAGACCGCTATTAGTCCGCTGCAATCAATCGTTGCGTTCGATAGCCCGCCACTTTGCCGAGCTTCCTGCAGAAGTAAAACTAAGTTGTCCCTCCCTTCCTTTCGCACACACACACACACACACACATACACATGTCGCGATACGTCCACCGACCGCGTCGCGAACGTCAATGACGGTGCTAGCTTGCGCTAATTGCCGATGGCAACGGTCGGCGACCGCGAGGGATGTTTAGCCCTTGAATATTAGCATGTTTTTGTTACCTCCTGGATACTACTAGGACGGGTGAATTTTCACCCATAACTTTTTCTCTAATTTCTTTTTAATGTACATGAACTATAAATATTTATGAACATTATAAATCCTAGCAGGACACCGCTGTGGTAGGGTGCTGCTGTCTAGTGGCGACAGTTAACAAAAAGACATCGGGTGGAATTTTCAGCCATCCTAATGTTTAAGAGTCAAATGTTTAACGACGGTCACGCTTATTAAACGCAGCGCGAAACGACGCTCATCTCGCGCGAACATTCCTTCGTGTTCGCGTTGGCTCCGCGCGGTGAAATTTATTTTGAAAATTTTCCTCGCGCCTTACCTTACGTTGTAAAGCAACATGACGCGTCGCGTCGCGTCGCGTCTCGTCGTGGAGGAGCCGCGTTGCCGCGCGCTCATATCAATCTCACGTATATCAGTTCCCGACGAAGCGCGAAACACGGCGGTGAAACGCGTGCAAGTTGTGTTAATGGTCCGGCGATTCATCGTCGTCTCGACCGGACGGTGATATTCGCGAGGACGTCAGACGGACATTGGAAGTGGAGAATTGTCTCGGTCGACGTGCTGGGAAAATGATAGTCGTCGGGCCGTATCAATTTATCATCGTCTCCGTTTACATTAGCGTCACGCCGGGAGAAAGAGTGAACGAGCGAGAGCGAGAGCGAGAGGAGGAGAGAATAACGTGTTTATTGAGTATCCAAATTCCACGTCCGGTGAAAACGCTGGGCCGATATCGGGCTTAGAGATTAATGATTTGTTCGTGATACAGTCGCGGGGCTTTTGACGGAACGCGCTGACGAGATCATCGAGAGCTCACGACGAGCGAACGCGGAGCGACGAGCCGCAATCTGTTTCCGTCGGGAAACGTGTAAAACATATCTCGGGAAACGTGATATTAAATATCGCATAACGTCGATACGAATGATACGCCGTGAAAGCCCGGCCCGCGTCCTCGCGAATCTTCACGTCGAAATCGTCGTGCATCGCGGGCGCGATTCGGAGACTAAAAATTCGCGGCTCGCGTCTCGTGAAAATTATTATACCAATAATTTCGCGATGATCTGATTCTTCCGACTGACCGACGGCGACACGTGCGCGGGTGTGCGGTCGATCTTGCAGCTGGAAGGAATAGCGAAACGTGACGCGGCCAGGAAACTGGTGAGGGACAAGGCACGAGTCGCTGACGACGACGAGGACGACGACGTCCCGTATTTCTTCTCTCTGAGGGTAGAACCCGACATGGACATAGCGATTCAGCACAATGACAAGAAAGTAATACCGCCGGATATCGGTCGTGAAAGCATCTCCGCCAATCGCAGATACCTCTACTTCAACCTCGCCGACAACAAATCCCGCGGACTCTGTTTATAAGGAGCTTATCACAATGCCTCCTTATCGATAACGTACACGCTGCAAAATCGCCGACGATGATGCGACGGCAGGCTAGACGGCGGTGGCGCGCATTGTGCGGACGTTTTATTTCTCCTTCTCGGTGCTTGCTGCGGAAGAGACGAACGGCGACTAAATAAATACACAAGCTCCGCCGAGAGAACTGCAGCGCGAGGAGGTAATAATTTCCACGGCGGTTGCGCGGCATTAAAGTGACTTCGCGACAAGTCGAACTTCTCCAGTCACGCGGTGCAACGGCGCGCCCCGTGTGTGTGTATCCGTGTAATCCCCGTGGCGCGAGAGCGAGTGAGCGAGATTCGGTACTTAAATTATGGCAGCCGACTATCAGCATGCTTTCGCGGCGAAATATGTGAGTGTAGTACACAGCGGTGATAAAGGACGCGGCGGCCAAATCCGAGCGCGCCATTAGTTTCCCTCTCGCGGGGGCAAGCAGCGCCGCGGCCAAGGCGCTGTGCAACGTCGCCGGCGATGCTCCGCGAGCGAAATCGGAATCCTCTCCGAGCACCTTAGCTAGCCCCGGGTCTTGGCGCCTTCGAAATCTATTAAGCTCCTTCCGCGAGGAAAACACTCACGGCCATTCGTCAAGATTTATTTAAGCTCTACATAAAGGCATTTCCATTTCGCGCGAGCGTGCGCTCGCCTTCTTTCCCCCTGCCCCCCCTGCTCCCTCCGTCACTCAGTCGCTCAGTCCCTCTCTTTCTTTCTCCCGGCAGTAGTAGAGCCGCGTAATTTGTCGGACGGCGCGCGTTCAACCGACAACGGACAACGTTGCTCTCAGCGGAGTCTACTCTCGCGCTAATTGCCGATCGATTTCCTCCCCCCCCCCCCCACCCCGTCCTGGTGGCTGATCATCTTGCCACCGAGAGGAACCGAGAACGATCGAGAGGAGTCTGCCGGATGCTGGCTCGTTCACGATTCGATGCACGCGCGCGCTCGTTGATTTAACTCGCGCATCGATAAGACCCGTGCACGTACACAGCGCAGATTGCACGCACACCGCGGCGCATGCATGCGTCAGTTTGAACGTTTACCTTTCACACAAGCGACGCGCTCTCGCATTTGCAAATGGTAACTCCCATTTAGAACAATGTTTCTCCGAGCTATGCCTCGTCTAACATCCGACTGCGGTGTGGCAGTTTGCGGTTACGTCGCGGTTTGTTCCCGGTTAAAATAGCGAATGAGGCTGCGATGGAGCGGCATCGGGAGAGACACAGTGGAGGAGAGAGAGAGAGAGAGAGAGAGAGAGAGAGAGAGAGAGAGAGAGAGGGAGGTAGGGGGAAGAGAAAGCGCGGCTTCCCGGTTCCCGATCGCCAAATGACGCGGAATTATCCTTTGTGTCTGGGAATTGCGCGTTTAATCCACGATAGGAGAACGGAACTCTGTGCGATTTTTATCGCGTGATCCCGAAACGACGAGCGCAGCGCGACGCGACGAGCGGGAAAATCAGGCTCGACATAATCACGTCGAACGTGCGCCGAGCGACGCGCGCGCGAAAATAAATCGGTGCAAATTCCTTCCTCCCTCCATCGCCGCCGCCGCCGCCGCCGCCGCCGCCGCATGAGACTTGGCTTTCGGGAAAATCGATTCCGCAAATTTGTCAGGCGCACGTGTATCTCTCTCTCTCTCTCTCTCTCTCTCTCTCTCTCTCTCTCTCTCTCTCTCTCTCTCTCTCTCTCCGTCCCGGTCGCGCGTCGTTCGTCCTGAACAGCCGAGTCCTGAATATGACACGACAATTACACAGACACAGAGTCCGATTTGATTTTCCAGCCATTTTTGCTTTCTCTCACACCGACGACACCGCTCGTCGTCGCAGACGCAGGTGTGCAGCAGCCAGTTACCTTCCGGTGAGCGTCGTCCGGTGACCCCGACGAGAGTCGCTGACATCCTCTCTCATCGAGAGGAGAAACGGACGACGATACTTTCTCGCGAGCGGCGTGATTTCTTACAAAGCTCGCAAAAAACGTCAGTGCGTGCGTTTCAATCAAGTCTTGTCAGACGCACGCACGCACGCACCGCCCGCCCCCGATATCGGGGAACCGCTGACAAAGGAACGGCGATTTTCATCGGGGGCGGACAGTACGCCACTTTCCACACAACGACGACGTCGGCGGCCGCACGAGGAAGATTCGAAGGCGGGCTAGGTAGGGAGGGACGCGCTTCAATAATCTATACGCCTCGTGTACGCGAAACGGTCCCGTCGTATATCATTTCAGATAACCGTACCGTACGCGTGTAACGACCGGCAGTAGCGGTGGCCGGCAGTAAGTGGGTGTAAATAATGCAGTCGGCTGTCAGGCCGTCCGCAGCGTGACGCGTTTGTCAGCGAGAGACCTTGCCTTTTTCAGCGCGCCTCCACGCCACGTCGCGTCTGCGGTTTGCATACATTTTTTGCATACAGTTCATCCTTTATCATAAATAAGAGAGCCGTGTGTCGTGCGCTAAA